TTTCTGAGCCTTGAATGTGGTAGTTGCGTTGCTGTCTATGCATGGTCAGAAAGCTCTCGGATTTCATCAAAAATATCATAATTTGTGTTCCAAAGATGAACGAAGGTCTTACGGGTTTGGAACGACATGAGTTATTAATGACAGGATTTTCATTTTTGGGTGAACTATCCCTTTAAGACTACATGTACTGTACATGTCAATCATACTGCTTATGACTGGCTAACCTTTGCGTATCAGCATTGTTCGCATTGTTGTTCATCAGGACAGGCCAAGTTGCTAAATACTGAGTAGGTGTTGATATACAAGTGTGGGTGGTTTCAGGTTAGCAAACACTGCATTGTAAACTTTAATGAATGTCTACATAGTACACTGAACACTTGTACTTCAAAAGAGCAAAGGAAAACCTTTCTAAACATGCTCATAACTCTCAAGTCAAATAAGCCCTAAAAACATTTTTGTGTTCAGATTTCCCAACAGATTCAGCAGTCACACACAAAAGAGCATATAAGAGCATGTTGATTCATTCATTCAGAGGCCAATCCTTCAGCTAAGAGGACAGGAGAGGGTGTGTGTTTAAGTGTAGTTCTTCTCACTACAGTAATGCAGCTGAAACCTGTCCGTCTGGTAACTATCAGCGCAAACAATCAAAGCTGTCAAATCACAAGCGTTTCCTGTCACATTCACAGACACACCATGATTGAACATATACCCGACATTCTACTGGCATAAAGCCACTCATGCTGCATGACATAAGAGTATCTGCCTTCCATTTCAGTTCTGGAGGGAACTCACTATGAATCATTTGCGCCCAGTGATATTAAAAATTGTTTTTGGTAATTGAAATGAAGGCTAAATTAAAGCTTTACTGTAATCAAATCTTTAATTAAAGCTTAAAATAACATTTGAAATGTTGCCTTGGAAACTAACTGAAATAAGTTAAAATCCTAAAATTACTAAAACTGAAAAATAATAAATAAAATAAACAAATACAATGACAAAAGTAAAAAATAAAAGCTAATTCAAATTTGAATAAATAAAACAAAGATTAATAAATACTATAATACTATATAAATAATACTAAAATAACATGCACATGCTGTCTGCACTATTTTAGCATCCAATTCATGCTAAATGGGAATGTGTGAATGGGAACAAAGGTCTCGCTGTATTTTTCCTTTTCAAAAAGGTCAAGCAAGTTGCACCAGGCAAAAAAAAAAAAAAAGCTTTTGTGAATAAATGATCTATACTGATCCTAATTTGCATAGCGTGTTTGACAATGACAATGACTGCGGGACTATTACAACACATTTAGCCTCTGGTTAAACTTAAGTGCAAGTGTTTAGAAGCAGGCGGAAAATCTTTTTGCACTGAACAACAAACAAAAGTGTGCAACTGTCTACATTTTACTATATTTTTCATCATGCAATTTCACCATGCAGCTCTCCACAGTGGCATAGTCTAGATTTCTGTATCTCAGTCTTTATATAGAATAACCGCTTCTAGGCCAATCCCAAATGTGTCATGTCTTTTTCTTTGCTCGGCTTAAAGTGGGCCAGTAAAAACCCCAGTGGGACTCCTGCCCCCTGCACTGGCCACTTTATCACAAAGGGTGCAGTTTATTACAGCGGCTGATTTGACTTCTCCTATCCCAATAACATCGTCATTTGAGACGGACGGTATGAGGATAAACGTTTTGTATCATTATCGTAAAATTTAATATTGTGAGTTATCGGTATTTGGTAAAAGTAACTGGGAGAAAACCTGGTCAACATAACTAGAATGTCCTAGATTCTCAGCATCTCTTTTGATTGATTTGCTCTGGTTTTTGGGCATTATTGGGGCAAATTTGCCCAAAAGGCATCTAGACTGCATAAATGTCTATGCATATAGGCAACTATAGGATTTATATGAAAGCCTGTTTCCACCAACGGATTAAAAAAAAAGCTTTTTTATCTCAGCAATTTCCCCCACAATTCAGAATTTCTAGATATAAACTCAGAATTGTGAGAAAAGTCAAAATTGCAAGATATAAACTTTGATATAAAATATATAAAATGTTTTCTCACAATTCTGCCTTTTTGTTTTTGAATTTTATGTTTGCATCTCACAATTCAGTTTTTGTTTCAACCACAAAAAAATGATAACCTTTTTCTTGTAACTGCAAGTTTATATCTCACAATTCTGACTTTTCTTCTGAGAATTGTGAGTTTATATCTCACATTTTTGAGTTTATATCAGAACAGAATGTAGACCCACAGTTATCAATAAGGGAGCAATTCATGGAGAAATTAAACATTAATTATGTAGAATAAAATATATACATAATTTCACATACATAATATAAAGCAATCATGTTAATGTTTCTAATGAAAGTTATTAGAAAGTTTTCCCAAGCTTTTTTTTTTTCATTTACATTTTTACACGTGGCTGGCTATAAAACATTTCTAATGGTCTGACATACTTTAATGCTGATGGTGTTCTAAAATAACACTCAGATTTTGACACTGCATCTCACAATTCAGTTTTTGTTTCAACCACAAAAAAATGATAACCTTTTTCTTGTAACTGCAAGTTTATATCTCACAATTCTGACTTTTCTTCTGAGAATTGTGAGTTTATATCTCACATTTTTGAGTTTATATCAGAACAGAATGTAGACCCACAGTTATCAATAAGGGAGCAATTCATGGAGAAATTAAACATTAATTATGTAGAATAAAATATATACATAATTTCACATACATAATATAAAGCAATCATGTTAATGTTTCTAATGAAAGTTATTAGAAAGTTTTCCCAAGGTTTTTTTTTTTTCATTTACATTTTTACACGTGGCTGGCTATAAAACATTTCTAATGGTCTGACACTTTAATGCTGATGGTGTTCTAAAATAACACTCAGATTTTGACACTGAGATTTCACTGGTTATCCATTAGCAGAAGGCATGTAAAGAGTTCTCTCCACACACACTCCTATTCAAACTCAAGCAAACCAACACGACAACAGGTTCAGCAGGAGTGATTGCTGACTCATGTGATCCATGCCACCTCATTTGATTAGCTTGACCAAAACATTCTCTTCAAACACCTGTTTCTTCCTATTTTCACTCCATTAGATAAAATGCTGTTCGTGTAAAAAGCTGCTCTGTCAGATCAGGCCAGATCCTCTCAGCTGCACTAGGATAAACCTCTTACGGTTCAAAAGAACAAATATTACAGTACAGAAATACAGTATTCTATTTTTTTTGTTTTTTTTACCTCCCCCACGTTATTCTACACATCACAAATAAAGCACTCAATGCACTTTAATCTCTTCTGAGCTCTGGTTTCGTGCTGAGCCAGATCAAATTAACATATCAGAGTTTGGACGTCATTTTTTCTCAATTTGTTAAAATGGTTTGCAGTCACATTGGAAACATATTGGAAAAATAAGATGTTTCTTTAAAAATATGTTCCAGATCTTCTGTAACATTCAACATACTAGAATACTAGAAAATGTCGTTATTAGTCAAAATAACTCAAATTACTTAAAAAAACGTACAAGATAATGCAAGGGACAGTTTCCATCTCAGTTGCGAATAAAAATGTGAATTTTAACCCTTAAAATATGAAAAAAATGTTTAACAAAAATTGACATATATGCTCGTTTTTTTTTTAACAACTGAACTTAAGATTTGTACTATTTATGCATAAATATCAAGCCTCTAATAATAATAGGGAAATGTAACCACTCTAACTTCCTACGTGACTTTGAGCTTGTGACATTTTTTGTCTGAGACAAGGGCAACTGGCGTTTTGAAATATCGGAGGAATCACGATTACAGAAACAAACACAGCTGACATCACATCTGCTTTCACCCAGAGCACCTGACCTTCAGACTGACTACAAAAATCACAGAAATCTTCATTTTCAGTGTTTTCCTCTCTGTTATCAAAAGACCCATCAATGCGTTACATCATAAGACTAAAATATACTAAAAGTGCTGTAAGGCCACATTCTGAAACGGGGCCGTTTGCTGAGCTGTACCAGGATACAGAGATGAAAATGTGTCAGAGAGCAACTGGGGAATACAGCAAAGCCAAGAGAGCAGACAAGTAAAAAGTCTCTGATTCTGCTGCAAACATTGAAACAAAGATCTCAGAAGATATGATTAGACCTTCAGGAATAGTTTCTAATCCATTTCTACATCCAAATTCTATATTTATGCATTTCACAGATGCTTTTATCCAGAGCGACTTACAATGCATTCAAAGTATACACTTTATAAGTTCATACATTCCCTATATGAATCGAACCCATGCCATTGGCATTGCTAGCACCATGCTCTATTCTAAAGTTAAGTAGGGTAAATATCACAAAACATTCAGTGAACAAATAAAAGACTCTTTCTGACTCAGAACTTCTCCATTTAACAGCATTTTAGATAACAATATAGATTTTTTCTGCTTTTTTGCCATTTGTTCCACTCAGATGGGACTCTACTGTCTTTCACAATGGAACTCTACACAAATACAGATGCATTATGGGTGAGCGACAAAAACGCATTAGACAGGTTATTAACCCCCCTGAGCTGTCTCACTGAAACTGTTGACATCATCAACAGCTCTCTGCACAACGGTCTTTTCAGATGTCAACAGACACACTCATATTGCTCTGAATTCCCAGAATACCTCAAGGCTGTAACTGATCTTCCATCTGAAATGTTGCTGAAACATACAGTATGTACCCTCAAACTGCATTAGTTTTCCTGAGAAACGTCAAAATGCCAAACATGTACGATCCAAACTGCACTTTTAGCTAAAAAACACTATTTATCAGATTATACTGACAGCATTTCGTTGGGTTTTATTGGCCTAGTGGATGGTGGGGAGACAACAGAACATTATGTGAAGAAGAAGAGCGTGCACCCATGCAACTCCATGGCCCAGTGTGTTAGTCTGTGTTAGAAGAGTTAGTCTTCGATGTGCGATTCAACATATCAAAACCATAGCACATCTCACCTCGTAAACATCGCGGTACGGGCCTCTGGTGTTCCTCAACCAGCAGCGGCTCAGCTCGCTCAACTCCACGATGGGCTGCACCTTCAGACGTACTGTGTCTCCAGACTGCCTGATCATCTCCACGATCTCATCCCTGCTTTTACTTTCCACGTTCCTCCCATTGATCTCTACCAGACGGTCGCCTGGCACCAGCCCCAGAGTCAGGTACTGATTCCTAGCGCCAGGCTCGGCAAAGTGGACCACCTTTCGGTAGAGCGACCCATCGGGCCGCTGGTCCACCATAGTGGTACGGCGAAGGGAAAAACCGAAATCGCCCGTGTTGCGGCGCTGAATTTCCAACTCTCTTGGTGCAGGAATTTGCGGAGGTGCCACAACAGGCAAGCGCAAGTCTGCTGGGAACGTTCGGTCCACTATCTCTGGGACTTGGATGCTCTTTGCAGGGCTGGTGGGACGGTGAGGTGTATATAGAGGCGGGGGATTGAACACCTTAACCACTACCTGAGGTGAGGGAATGGCGGAGTTCTGCGCTGATGGTGCAGTTGACCCTGAAGGGCTTTCATCTTTGCTCTTCTGTGAGAAAGAAAACCGCTTCAAGATTTGTTCGACTGGGGAATTCTGCTTCCTCATGGAGTCATATTTGACTGCCTGTTCTTTGATGGATGATCGGCGGACGTCTTGGTCCAGCTTAATGTCATCACTAGAGCTCATGGGTGTTATGGTACCCTGAGTATAGAGTTTCCTGAGGTCCGCGTCTGTCAGGCTGAGCTCTGTGTTTCGGACGACCTTGATGGGAATGGGGCTGGAAATCTCCAGTTTCCCTTTCGCCTCCCGTTTAGAGCTGCTTCGATGAAGATGAAAGAAACCTCTCCTCACGCTCATTTCCTCTAGGCTCTTCAGCTCGGCTTGAGACATTCGCTCTTGTTTCTCTTTCTTCTCCTTTTTTGTTCCATCCTTCTCCTTGTCTTTATCTTTCTTGATCAAGTGGAACATGGTTGGGCCCAAATGTAGAATCCACCAGATGTTGGTCTCTTCACAGCATATAGATCAATGTTGGCATTCAGTCATGACCAGCACCGGTTCCACAGCACCTAGGGCACCTCAGCAACAGGTGAAGCCCTCCACTAAAACAAGAGATCGACAAACAGAACACATTGTTTTAATGTTTCCTTCTATTTGCAATGACTGTAGTAGTCATGGGGTTTAAAATGCCCTTTTTTTTCCTTTTTTTATTTAAATAAACTGAAATTATTATTATTAATAATAACAATAATAGTCAATATTAAAAATAATTATAATATTAATAATAATAATAATAAAATAATAAAAAATTGAAACACACAGACACTATCAATAAATATGATATAAAACATATATAAAATGCTATGCCTATGTTTGAAGTATAATTTTATTTGGTAAAAAATACAATAATATATTGCACCAGACAATGTTCATATCAATAATTTCGGTAATTAATGGGTTAACACAGCTAAAAAAAAACATAATTTATTAATCAAAAGAGTAAAGAAAGTGTACACGTGACGGTAGACCCCTATGTGACGTCGCACACTCTCATTGGCTGTTCTTACCTTTCCTGACAGGTACACAAAATCGGTAAGAGATCCATACAACGTCTATCATCGACAACAATTATAAAACGTATACAACAATGGCATAAACATTATGTAAAACACAGCGACATAAATCAGTGATGATGTTAAAACGATCAGTTTTCACGATTATCCAAACAACGAGTAGAATGAATCACTTCCTGAAACTCTTCATCTCATCGCCCCCTGAACGCTTCCTCTTCGAATTAAATTAAACGGTATATTTGGAATCTCATATCTATGTAACTATACTTGTGCTACGAAATCACTTGACCTTACCTGCAGAATCATGTCTATCATGTAAAGTTGAATTCAACTCTTACTGATTCAGCTCTTAATGTAAATCTACGAGGCTTTAAAAATGAAACTCTTTGTGCTTTTAATATATTACTTAATTATGCAATATTAACCTCTATACTCATATCCTGCATTTATATGCAATCATTTCTAGATCATGTATATCATGATGACTTTAAGGGGAATGTTTTGGTGCGCGTAATGCTCTTCTCTTAAGCCTATTTATTCCGCATCAACGCAAACAGACAGTCTGTTCACCTGTACAGTGAAGTAAACACAAATGTCGCTAAAGATAAGTAAACTTACCGTTGAAACAGTGTTGAAATAGTGTGGCGATGCCCGGTGCGCACTGAATTGCAGCAGCACCGGTCCTGTGGAAACGCGTCTGGAGCGTTTGACGGTCAGTGGGACGCTCACACCAGCTGAGCGCGCTCTCGGATCACTGCCCTGCTGGATATGATCCCATCAAGAAGAGTTGAGCACATCAGTTCATCCCTTCTGCATGACTTTGGAACCTAGAACGTTTTAGGTCGAGATACTTTGACTACGTTCAAATTGTAGTTTTTCTGATGTGCAGGAGAGTATAGTGCTTAAATACGCAACCAGTTAAACTAAAATAAAAATAAAATACATTTTTAGATAGCAATTTGTATTATTCGATCATTTGTAAGAGAATAATAGCTATAGGTATTAATCAATTAGCCCTATATTGAAATAATAATAGCAATGAAAACAATAAATAGGTCTAGTACAAGAATAGACTGGTATGCACACTTAAATTGTAAATGAAAAAAAGCAATAAAAATGTAAAATATATTCAATAATAGAAATTATTGTCTTTTCAAATCAGCCATGTCCTTGATTTTGCGTACACAAATTTAATCGCAATATGCCGTGTGTTGTATTCATAGTGGTTCAGTTTCATTTGCATGGGCATAGCGCCCTCCTCTGGACCGACTCTGTGACAACACCAATCCCTCCTTGTGTATGTTTTTAGATTTTTCCAGTCACGCAATAATCTTCAAAATCCCCATCGCTTGCACATTTGTGATGTATTTATCTTACATTCATATTAATACAACATCTCTTGTTCTGGTCTTGGAACCTGAATGAGCACATAGCTTTAGATGTTTATAAGGTTTAGTGGCATAAATTGTAATAAAATAACAGTGTGGGTCAATTTAAAGTCTGCTAGTCAAATCAAATCAAATATCCAAACCATTAATGGAAACTCCTCAACCCAATACAGATGAATAAACCATATGTTCTAATTTGGCTGTGGTGTTTTGGTAGAAAAGCTACATATACAACTGGAAAGGGTCTGGCGTCATAATGTAAATCTTGCTTATGTCATGCTTAAATCATGATTACAGCATATTAGATATATAGCCATAGCAAATCAATTTTGCCAGTTTCTCCACACCTGACCTAACTTTCTTTAACTGATCAAACATTACCTGTATTAGCTTCTATGTTAGGCAATTTTGTGTCAACCATAAACTATTTAAAAGGTGCTCCACAGGGTCATTGTGGATGAAGAGGATTTTAAACTGGCCTATATGAGGAGTGCATTCAGATCACTGTTTATATCACATTCAAGAACATACTGTACTAATTAATGAATATGTCAGTGTCATAGTTGGTCAAATATAACAGATGCTTTCTGTGAAACAGCACTGTGCAGTTCTTCACTACTAATGCTGCTTTATTTAATTTTTGCACTCAGAAAACATATAGTATTTCCATTAAAAAATAAAAATAAACTATCGTAAAACCTTCAGCACAAAGAATGCCAGAAAATGGAGCTGTATTAAAGGTAAAATATGCCATTATTATATTTAGTAAAATTATTAAGCTATTTTTTAAATTATTATTATTTAATGGACATAAATTGAAAGACTGAAATCTTCACTGAAGTACTAATTACATGCTTTTAGCATTTAACGTGTAATGTTTGGTAGCCACGTACACACACACACACACACACACAAAGCTATTATACTACTAATGGGAAAAAAAGATTCTTATAAAACATGACCTTTTAATCGCTCTGTGACCTATTAGAAGGGCACCCCGCTGATAATAAATCGGGTTATTAAGTTCATTCAGTTCAGGACTCGCCCTGTGTGTTGCTCTTAATTATAAAACGATCCTAAAATAGACCACGTCTTCAGCTAATCATTCTCGTGTGTCTGCTGGGGGATTTATAGCAATAAATCAGGTTAAAAGATGCACACAACTCTGTCCCATGTAGGTTTTGAACGAATCTTTTAAACGAACGAGTCGTTTTCGTTCACTTCCATGCAATGACTCATCTCAGAGCATCTCGTTTTGAACGAACCGAACGAACTCGGACATCTCGTTCATGAATGAACTAAACGAGGATGCTTGATCCCATCGATTCGGTTAAGTGAATGATTCAATGAATCCTTCAAGACTGGAGGAACCTGCAGACAGAGACACTGAATGAATCAATAAACGAGTCGGAACAAATCTTGTTAGTGAAAAGATTCAAATCTTTTAGATTAACTAAAATCCCCAACACTAACAGGCACATATATGAAGACTTAATATGCATAATGTTGTATTTAAACGTATAAAATAGACTTTACATGTACAGATACAGATAGAGCACGTCTAATCGTATAAATGCAGATAAATCCTGCAGTCAGTCTCGCGCAGTGAGTTATGACGAGTCTCGCGACAGTTCCACGCTATTCGTCAACTTCACTCCTGTTTTTTGGAGCGCCCCCAGAGTCTGTCGAGATGGAGATGAAAAACAGGGATGTTTTGAAAATCACTGTAGTTAGTACTTCATGACATTTACCCCCGAAGCATAGACAGAGTGTGTTGTACCACAAAGTGTTTTTAAATGTGTTTTTAAAGTACCATATTGTAAAACCGGATAGTGTTTTATTCATTAAATCATCCAGACTGCTGTTGTATTCCCCCCTCCCGCGAGTGGTACGTTCCGCGGGGTGGCGGAAGTCTTGCTCTGCCATGTTGAGCGCTTTGTTTCTGTGAGTGAGACGCGATGATGGAGCAGAGCTGGAGCTCTTTCTTATTCCAGGTGAGAAACTCTCTCTTAAACACACACTTGCACATTCACACTCACACGCCGTCCGCTCACCGCTCACTCGTGCTACCGGCCTGCCGGCTTCAGTTTGCTTTATCACCACCAGAGATATTTGAAAAGGCGCAGTTGGAGCAAAACAATAGTAGATGAGTCCCAGGCGCCCAGCTGCGCTCCCTCTCTACCGTTAGATGTAGTAACACTCAATCTCTGTGTTTACCCCTCTAACTCTGTAGATCTAACCCTATATCCCTCTTTACCCCTCTTATCTGACTCTATAGATGCAACCCTGTGTACATCATTTTGTTTCTCTATCTGCAGATCTTTCCTTCTGTCCCCCTGTTCACTCCTCTGTCTGTACTCCATCTATCCCGCTTTATTTCTCTGTTATCCTGTCACTATCTCCATCTCTCTTCCATCTATCTTTCCCTGTGTAGATCTGTTCCTCTGCCTCTATCTGTTCATTCATCTCCCTATTCACTCCTTTATATACATTTCACTCTGTCAGGCTCTCTGTTTGTTCCTCTGTCTCTATCTCCATCTATCTCTCCATTTTCGTTCCCTCTGTAGATCAGTCCATCATCAGTTCCTCTATCTCTTTGTTTTTCCACCTCTACCTCAATCTGTACCTCTGTCTAATGTTCCCATAGTCATGAAAAATCTGGAAGAAATTAGCATTTTTTTTTGTGATTTTTCAGGCATGGAAAAGTTACAGAAAACAATGTTTGGAAAAGTTATGGAAATTTCTGTAGTCTATGTATTAAAAAAAAAATGTAAGTAATAAAAATATTTAAATTTTCAATTTGGTGGAAATATTTTTGTGAGTGACAAAGTATACAAATTGTAAAATTATAACAACTTATTACAGCAAAAGTCATAGATAGTCATTAGTCAGTCTATCTATCTATCTATCTATCTATCTATCTGTTTTAGGACAGAAAGAATCAGACACAGCATAATAAGCTGCTGTAGTGACTCAGATCCTGAGAACTTGTTCACGTGTAAACTCACTTTATGAGGTGTTCAGTTAAATTGCATTTTGCTTTCTTAGTCACTTCTATCCTCCGGGCTTTAGTTTAAATTTCTACTTTTCATTATACCTTTCATAAAATGCATTGATTCACATTGCACCTGGTTTCTCTGTGCGATTTCCTGCAGCTGGATACATGTATATTAGTATTGTTGAAGATCATATTTATCATGCCTTGTGATCACAGAGCTTTTGATGTCAGTTAGAGTTTTACAGTATGTACTACTACTACTATAAATTATTCTGGGAAACCTGCTTTGTTTGCAGCACATGTTGAGAACATATGGATTGAGTTTACTTAAATGTTCTTTACTTTGCATGTCTTTGTTATATGTGTTTATTACTTGTGTAATAGTGTATGTAACATTGTGACCCATACTTCACTATATGACTCTTCTGAAAATATATATTTTTTTTACATTATAACCTATGCTCCAATAAAGCTGATATTGATTTGCAAGATATCATATTTCCTTAAGCAATGGATGTTTGGGGTCCTGTTTTGCCCTTGAAGTGCTGTACGACTGAGTCATTTCACAGTCAGTTCTCGGGAAGTGAGATTAGACAATTTTTATCTATTCCGCCACACAGTTTTGCAAAGTTAGTTTTTTTCTGTCTTTTTCGGTCTATTTTTTTAATTGAAAAGATGTTTGGATTAGTATGAATCAGGCTGAAACCTGTGGCAAAGACAGCAGCTCTGATTGATCAGGTGACTTGTGTTTTTGGTAGAAATGAAACTCTTTGTGCTTTTAATATATTACTTAATTATGCAATATTAACCTCTATACTCATATCCTGCATTTATATGCAATCATTTCTAGATCATGTATATCATGATGACTTTAAGGGGAATGTTTTGGTGCGCGTAATGCTCTTCTCTTAAGCCTATTTATTCCGCATCAACGCAAACAGACAGTCTGTTCACCTGTACAGTGAAGTAAACACAAATGTCGCTAAAGATAAGTAAACTTACCGTTGAAACAGTGTTGAAATAGTGTGGCGATGCCCGGTGCGCACTGAATTGCAGCAGCACCGGTCCTGTGGAAACGCGTCTGGAGCGTTTGACGGTCAGTGGGACGCTCACACCAGCTGAGCGCGCTCTCGGATCACTGCCCTGCTGGATATGATCCCATCAAGAAGAGTTGAGCACATCAGTTCATCCCTTCTGCATGACTTTGGAACCTAGAACGTTTTAGGTCGAGATACTTTGACTACGTTCAAATTGTAGTTTTTCTGATGTGCAGGAGAGTATAGTGCTTAAATACGCAACCAGTTAAACTAAAATAAAAATAAAATACATTTTTAGATAGCAATTTGTATTATTCGATCATTTGTAAGAGAATA